GGATCGGGTACTGCATATTTTAAAAATCCTTGTGGCTGTGAGGAAATGCCTTCACTGGAGGAGTACAGTGCTGTTACTTCTGCCAGTGTGCTGAGAGGCAGAAGGGGATGGGAATTCTCAGCCTGGGTGTTGACTGAGGAGAGCTTGTGGCGCATGTGCTGTCAACTAAAGGAGCACTGGCTGGCGGCTCAGTGGTTAGAGTGTCAAAAGCCTCTCGGTCCGGTCAAGGGCATGTACCTGGGTTGCAGGTTCCAGCCCCAGTTGGGGTGGGTGCAGGATACAGCCATTAGATGCATCTCTCTCACATAAATGTCCCCCCCCCTCCACTCTCTAAAAATCAATGGAAAAAATATCCTTGGCTGAGATTTAGTCAAAACGCAAGAGTTTAGGAGGCTGGAGTTTAAAGTGCACAAGACAGGAGGCTGGAGAAGGAAACAGGGCAGATCTTGTCTTGTAAAGGGGTTTGGGCTTTACCTTAAAGTGTACGGAGGCCCTAGCCCATTCTGCTCAGTGGTTAGAGTCTCAGACCTTGGGCTGGAGAGCTGCAGATTCTATCCCAGCCCCCATCAGGACTCGTGTGGGAGGCATCCAATCGAGGTGTCTCTCTTACATCGATGTTTCTCTCTCTGTCTCTCCCCCTCCCTTCCACTCTCTCTAAAAATCAACGGGAAAAAATATCCTCTGGTGAAGACTTAAAAAAAAAAGTACCAAGAAATTGATAGTTTAGCTCTGGGCAGTTTGACAGTGATTGGAGCATTGGCCTGTAGACTGAAGGGTCTCGGGTTCCATTCCCAGTCAAGGGCACATACCTTGGCTGCAGGTTTGATCCCCGGCCTCGTCAGGGCACATGCTGGGGGCAACTGGTCAATGACTCTCTTTCCTCCTCCTCCCTCCCTCCCTCCCACTCCCTCTAAAGATCAATGGTAAAAATATTGTTGGGTGAGGATTTTTTTAAAAAAGAAATTGATAGTTTATGCAGGGGACTCACACTATCAAATCTTCATTGAAAGTGGAGAGCAGGTGGAATTCCTACCAGAAAACAATGGAGACAAACCTGGGTGCAAGAGACCTTTTCTTGTAACCCAGGCACTCTCTTCCATTTTCCCACGTTCACCCCAGGCTGCAAGGGACAGCGCTGGACAGTACAGACCTGCCTAACATGCCAGCGCAGCCGACGGTTCCTCAATGATCCTGCACATGTTCTCTGGGGAGATCTGCCTGAGGCCCAGCTAGGGAGCCAATCAGGTAAGAATTGGACAAAAATGTGGGATATCCCATGGGAATAGGGATGGATTGGGGACGGAGAGCTGAATAGGACACAGGTGAGTTCTGCGTCGGTGTGACAGGTGCCACAGTCTTAGAAAACTCTAACTCTGCTCATCGATCCAGATCCAAAACCACCGCAGCCCCTGCCAAGCACAGCCCGCCCCACCCCGCCCCACCTTACTGAGGAGAAAGTGCAGCCACAGAGCTCTCGTCACCAGTGATGGAGTCACCGTCTTCCCGATAAATAAAGTTTAATTCTGTTTCACTTTGGTGAGTCAGTAACGTAAGTATTTCAGCTCTTAATTCCATTTCCTCTGTATCTCTCTGTCACCAGGTAACCTCTCCTTTGTCTTTATCGCCTTCCTACTCCTGCCTTTCAGGGAGGTCCTATTTCCATAGACCACTTGGCCCCACTAAGCAGCTCGCATATCCAGGCCCCTAGCTCCAGGGCCCCTTTGCACCTGGTTCTTAATGCAATGCCATGTGTGGAACTTGGGCCCTAGGGTTGCCTGTGAGGGCCTGAGCCTTAGGGCATTCCAGGTTTAGGTAACCCTGACTTGTTGACTGATGGGCTGGATAGACCGCTGATGCCACAGATGCTGTTTTTAAATGAGGGTATAAAGCTGCCGGGAGAGGGACTTCAGACCTCGGCCCACTCCAGAGTTGGTCTTTCCCAATCTCTGCATTTTCCTCTTTAACATTCCAATAAGGGAGATTGGACAAACCAGAACTAACAAAGTCAAAGGTGATAATCAAAAGGACACTGCAAACATTATACAAGTCTGCTCTGTAAGTAAACCCTCAAAATTGTCTTGAGAATTAGTAAACAACAAAAAGAGTTTTCTTCAGTACCCTAGAGAACTTGCCAAGGACAGAATTTCATCCTGACCTCAGTGCTAGGTGCCAGTTAATCAGTCTGCCCTAAAAGTATACAAACAAAATTTACTCTCCCCACAATGCAGTTTTCTTCCCTTTCTCTTAATAAATCCTGTGTCGCACTCACTGCTGCATTAAAATCAACAAATCCATTAAAAACACTTCATGGTGCTCTTCCTCCAGGGAGCATGCCCTGCCGTTCCCTTCCCCCACTCCTCCCCTCACAGGTAGGTATTCTTGAACCCCTAAGGCAGTGATGGCGAACCTATGACAAGCGAACTCATTGTTTTGGTTGATTTTTCTTTGTTAAATAGCATTTAAATATATAAAATAAGTATCAAAAATATAAATCTTTGTTTTACTATGGTTGCAAAGATCAAAAAATTTCTATATGAGACACGGCACCAGAGTTAAGTTAGGGTTTTTCAAAATGCTGACACACCGAGCTCAAAAGGTTCGCCGTCACTGTAATAGGGGCCTGATGAAATGCGATGGGAGCAGTGGACATCTTGCTCTGGCTAACGCCCTTAACCTGTCCTCAAGGCTCCCTTTTCTCCGACTTCCCAGTGAACCAGAACAGCCCAGCCTACACTCTCCTGTTGCTTCTTTTGTGCCCTTGTTTCTTATCTAAGTAATTTTTGCTGCAGTCAAATTCTTGCTTTCTTTTCTTTAAAAAACAAAAACAAAACACTCCATCATGTGTGACTTAAAACAACAGTCATCTGTGATTTCCCTGCCTCTGCGGGCTGGGCTGTGAGGGCTGGCTGGGCTGGCTGGTTCTTTTCTAGTTTTGGGGGGTTTTTTGTTTGTTTTGGTTTTTTTATTTCACAAAGTGGGTGGTTCTTCTTTTCCAAATAGCACCACCTGGAGTTACTCCACTGCATTTTGCTGGTGGCCGGTACCTGGTCTGGAAGATCCAAGAAGCTTCATTGTATATATGTGGAACCTCATTGCTTCTCCGTGGCCTTGCTGATGTCTGCACAGCATGGCTATCGCGGGGTGCTTAGACTTTTTTCCAAGAAGACAAGCCCCAAGGTGCAAAGTGCTTATCAAGCCTCTGTACTCACCATGCTGGCTAATTAATGTCCCCTTGACCAAAGCAAGTCACATGGCCAAGCCCAGATTCAACACCAAGGCATGAATACTGGGAGGTCCACTGGTTCCCTGGGGACCACAGATGCAGCAGTCTGCCATGTTTTGCCTTTGTCCCTGACTCAGTCTCCACTTAAAATTGTTCACATGGAAATACTGAACTGTGCAAGAATGCTCTGAGTTAGTCTTTCACAGTTGATTTCTGGTGCTAATGCCTACTTGGCCAACTGTAGCAGACATTACAAACGTAGCCTAAAGTGCATCCCGTGCAGACTGGGCCCTTTTCATCTCCCGCTGACCATGGGCTGCACCCACCAGTCTCATTTCTGAGCTCATTGGCCCTTACACACTAAATCTGATTCTTGGCAAAGTTTATTTTGAGTATGATTAATGACTGCACATGCCGACAGTGGAATAGCAGTGGGGGAGCTCTGAGTTTTGTTTTCATGACAGCCATTGAGTGATTCCTCTCATGTGTGAGAATCCGGGAATCGGGCCCCAGTCAGTGTGGAACGTGGTTCACTTATGAGTCTGGCTGGTTGGTCTGTTTATGTTTGCATCAGTATAGGTTCCTATAACTCGGGTGGGGTCTGGCCCTGCCAAGGCATTAGGGTTGAGTTAATTAAATGTTTGACCAAATACAGCAGGCTAATTTTTAAGATGATAATTCGTATGGCCCACAAGTGATGTTACAAATATCCAAATGGCCCTTGGCAGAAAAAAAGTTCCCTAACTGGAGGTGGGCCCTCTTCATCCAAAACTCTCCTTTTTCGTGCTTGCTCATTATGACGTGACAGTTGTCAATATATGCCAAAAAAAAAATGGATTTCCTATAACAGGAAATCTCTTATACACAAGTTAGCTTTCTTCAAAGTTTCTAAACAGTTTAGTAATTCAAAATTTGAGCCCTTTTGAGACTTTAAGTAAAATTAAACGGGACAAAGAAGAAAACCTACTTTTCTAGAAAATGAGACCTCCCAAATGCCATAGAAATCAAGACTTAATCCCCAAGTCATAGGCAGGTACATTTAGCACTTTTAAAAACTGGTAAAAATGAGTATCATTGTCAAGGGGAGAGCACGAGAGAAAGGATTGAAAAACCATCTGTCTGAATTCAAAAGGAAATTGGAAAATTACTTAGATTTTCAACAAAGGGAATAATTCTAGTATTGTCTACATCACAGTTACTGCAACTGTCAAATGAGAATATATGTGAAGGCACCTTGAAAAGGGTATTATAGGGCCTTGTAATAAAGTGTATGTAGGAATCGTAACACTTTGGAAGTAGTAAGAATCAGCAAAATGTATTAGAAAAGACAGGTCCTGGACATAAAGGAATCTGAGTTATTGTCCCCACAATACATATTTGTAAAAGGAGATACTTTGACAATAGTTTTACAACTCTGGAAGCTAACAGAAGTTACCTAGTTTTCCCACTAAATGTCAAAAAAAGCCAGGTTTCTCTCAGATTTTTGATGCACTCGTTCAATATTTTCAGAGGGCCTACTGTGGCAGCATTGCTCAGGAATTGGGATACACATGAGTGAACAGTTGGAGGGAAGATGAGCAAAAAAACAATGTATGGTAAGTTGTAAAGGGATGTGTGCAATGGAAAAAAACCGGGAAGGTCAGGCTGCTGTGAGGTGTGGCTTCCAGTTTTAAATAGAGCTGTCTAGGTGAGCAGCACTGAGAAAGTGATGAGGACAAACAAGGGGCCGCTTCTGTGTCCCTGCAGACAACCCCAAGAAGCTTGCTTTGTGCAGCTGGCTCACATGACAAGAGCTTCTGTCTGCCCAGGGCTGTTGTCTGGAAGGGGGAGCCTTGCAGAGTAGGCCAACCATGCCAGGAAATAATGCCCATGCAAGCGACCCCGGACTGAGGGATGAAAGTTGGTGGATATTCTACATAATCCCTCAGGGTCACTAACAGGGTTGAGCTCTGGTGCTTAGGTGTGCCCTTTTTCAGTTATTTTTGTGGTGTTAATCCTAACCTGAGGATTTTATTTTTTATTTTTCCCATTTATTTTTAGAGAGAGTGGGAGGGAGGGAGGGGCAAAGAGAGAACCATCAATTGGTCGCCTGCCACACACAGCCCGACCCGGGACAGGATCGAACCTGCAACGCAGGTACCTGCTCTTTACCAGCAATCACACCCGTGACCCTTCAGTGTGCGGGCTGATGGCCTAACCACTGACCCACTGGCCAGGGCTGCACATGCCCTTTATACAGTTCCCTCCCTTGTTTCACGCCCCACTCCCTCACTATAATTTCTGGGATAATCTTCCAGGTAAACTACCTGTACCAAATTATTCGTCTCTGAGTTTGCTTTGAAGGAACCCAAAATGAGAGTGACATTGAAAAAAGGGGGTGAGGGATCTACCGTGAAGATATCTGGGGAGGACCTGAGCAGAGGGAACAGGGAGGACAAAGGTCCTGAAGTGGGAGCCTGCCCAAGGGATTCCAGGGTCTGAAAGGCCAGTATGAGTGAAACAGTGAGCAAGGTGTAGAGTAGTCAGTGTGGCCAATCAAAGAAATTGGTCACTGAGAGGCCATTGGAAAGTTTTAGCAAAGAAAGATGGCTTAATAGTTTAAAAGGATCACTTTTGCCCTGGCTGGTTTGGTTCAGTGGATAGAGCGTCAGCCTGCAGACTGAAGGGTCCCAGGTTCGATTACAATCAAGGGCACATGCTCGGCTTGTGGGCTTGATCTCCAGTGGGGGGAGACAGCCAATCAGTGATTCTCTGGTCATTAATGTTTCTTATCTCCCTCTCTGAAATCAATAAAATAAAAAAGTGTCACTTCTTTCCAATTACAGTTAACATTCAATATTATATTAGCTTCAGGGACAATTAGTGGTAAGATGTTTACATAACTTATGAAGTGACCCAATAAGTCTAATACCCACCTTGCACCATATATAGTTAGTACAATATTACTGAGTACATTCCCTGTGCTGTTCTTTACATACCTGTGGCTATTCAGTAACTGCCAGTTTGTACTTTTTATTTATTTATTTTAATATATTTTATTTTTTAGGGAGAGAGATAGAGAGTTGGAAACATCAATTAGCTGCCTCCTGCACACCTCCTACTGGGGATGTGCCTGCAACCAAGGTACGTGCCCTTGACCGGAATTGAACCTGGGACCCTTCAGTCTCCAGCCTGACACTCTATCCACCAAGCCAAACCGGTCAGGGCCAGTTTGTACTTTTTAACCCCTTCCCCTTTTTCCCATCCTCCAACCCTCCTCCCATCTGGCAACCATCAGTTTGTTCTATCTGTGAGTCTTTCTGTTTTCTTTGTTCGTTTACAGTCAAACCTCGGTTCTCCAACGTCTCTCATCTCAAACAGTTCGGGTTCGACCAAGTTGTTCATGGAAAAATGTCTCAGGTGTTGAACAAAACTTCAGTTCTCGACTCAACAGCCCTTTCATGCTGATCCCTGTATGATCAGTCATGCATCTCTCAGGTGACAAGGGAGAGAATGAGCAAGTATGAGTCCGTTTACTGCTAAACCTCATGCTGTTAACATCTCGGGAAATTGTGCTCTGAATGTTTTTATGTTTTGCCTTTTTGCTGCTTATTATTAAATACGTAAGTAAGTCATCATGGGTCCTAAGAAACTTAGTGATACCAAAGTGAAAAGGAAAGTTGTGAGAACAACGATAGAGCTTAAAAAAGAAATAATTGCAAATTATGATAAAGGTGTTCGTGTGTCTGATCTGGCTACCAAGTATGGCATGGCAAAATCGACAATTAGCACAATTTTAAAACATAAAGAGGCCATCAAGAAAGCTGATGTTGCTAAGGGTGTAACAGTGCTCACAAAACAACGATCACAGGCCATTGAAGAGGTAGAAAAATTGTTGTTGATTTGGATAAATGAAAAACAGTTAGCCGGTGATAGCATTTCAGAGGCAATGATATGTGAAAAAGCAAAGATGCTGCATACTGACCTCCTGAAAGACAGCCCTGAAATGAGTGCTCAAAATGGTTCATTTAAGGCTAGTAGGGGGTGGTTCGATAAATTTAAGAAAAGAAGTGGTATTCATGTAGTGAGGCATGGGGAGTCTGACAGAACTAACAAAGTAGCTGCTGATAATTTTGTGACAGAATTTCAAGAATTCATCGAGGCTGAGGGATTTGTTCCCCAACAAGTGTTCAATTGTGATGAGACAGGGCTCTTCTGGAAGAAAATGCCAAAGAGGACCTACATCACACAGGAGGAGAAGTCATTGCCAGGACACCAGCCAGTGAAGGACCGGCTGACATTACTATTGTGTGGCAATGCGAGTGGGGACTTCAAATTGAAGCCTCTTCTCGTCTACCATTCTGAAAACGTACGAGTTTTCGGGAAAAATAATGTCATGAAAAACAAGTGGAATGTGATGTGGAGGGCTAACAGCAAAGCTTGGGTGACCAGGCAGTTTTTTATTGAGTGGATTCATGAGGTGTTCGCCCCAAGTGTGAAGAAATACCTCTGGGAAAAACAGTTGCCACTCAGGGCACTTCTTGTCATGGACAAGGCTCCTGCCCACCCTCCAGGCTTGGAGGCCGAGCTGATGGAGGAGCACAGCTTCATCACTGTGAGGTTCTTGCCACCTAACATAACTCCGCTCATCCAGCCCATGGAACAGCAGGTCATTTCTAACTTTAAGAAACTCTACACCAAAGCACTGTTCCAGAGGTGTTTTGAGGTGACCTCTGAAACTAATTTAACCCTCCGGGAGTTCTGGAAGGAACATTTTAATATCCTCACTTGCTTGAGGCTCATAGATGAAGCGTGGGGGGGAGTGTGTTCCAGGACCCTGCAGTCGGCCTGGAAGAAACTGTGGCCCGAGTCTGTTGCTGACAGAGCCTGTGAGGGCCGTGAGGACAAGCCTGTGTCTGTTGTGGAGGACATTGTGTCTCTGGGCAAGTCCATGGGCTTGGAGGTGGATGATGATGATGTGGAGGAGTTGGTGGAGGACCACAACACTGAGCTGACCACGGAGGAGCTCCAAGACCTTCAGAGGGAGCAGCAACAGCCGGCAGCTGAGGAAACGCAGGCAAAAACAATCATTGGGTAGGTTTTTAGTGAGACAGAGGCCCAGTGAACCTGAAGCAAGTTCTAGTGGAGCAAAGAGACGAAAGAGAAAGAACCCCAGAAGAATAGCTCCCTGACGTGTTTACGGAAGGGAACTCCTCTTCCAAACAAGAACACCCTCCTCCATTTTCAGTCATCAGTAGCTCTCAGCATTCAAGGTAAGTTCTAGTGTGTACCTAAATTTTCATTTTTTACTCTACACTTCCTTTCCTTTTTGTATTTTAAAGTATTTGCTTACAAATAGTACATTAGACGTGTACTGTATGTAAGAAAGTTTAAAACGTCGTCATTTGGGGTTCTGGAACAGATTCAATTTACAGTTAAACTTCAGTTCTTGAACATCTCTCATCTCAAACAATTCAAGTCTCAACCAAGTTGTTCATGGAAATAATGTCTCAGTTGTTGAACAAAATCTTCAGTTCTCAACCTGACAACCCTTTCATGCTGATAACGTCAACATGACAAAAAGCTCTCTCAGGC